AGCGACCTGGCCACAAATGATAGCTCAACGTAGTGGCTTATCACGTGGATATATATCAGTATCCAAATACACTAAACGCGTGATGTTGTTTCTAAATGTGGGGGGGGGGAGGGGAAAACCCGGAAGGACCCGGAGAAAAATCCACGCGACCACGGGGAGAGCACGCAAACTTCAAATACACAGCAGGTGCGAGGGTCGGGGTCGAACCCACCACCCCCTGCATACCAGGCGAGGTAGTTAACATCGCGCCACCGTGGTATATAATTTACTTGGCGGGCGGACGTAAATTTTTTATCGCGCTTTGCGATTTTTAGCAGCTGTTTGATAACCCCCTCTTGGCAACTTGCAGTCCACTATATATGCTATATAGTTCCCTCCGTTGACTTGGTAAACACAAGTCACACTGCAACAATTATGTAACCCGAATCCCAAATAACATTACGTCCATATTCTTGGTTCTTTCGGTAAAGTCACCACGTAGAAGGGAAACAATAAAATAATAAAAATATAAAACAATACACGCGATATTGTTTCCCTTCTACGTGGTGACTTTACCGAAAGAACCAAGAATATGAATCCCTGCAGTCACGAAAGCTTTAAATCAAAATTTAACATTACGTCCGACATTAGCCACCCTTTCAGATGCTCTTCGAGCTACCAAGCAATACTCAATCTAATTAAACTCTAAATTACTTCGGGATTACCCCCAATTTCAGGATTACCCCCAATAGTCTGTGGGTGCCGTTTGCGCATGAGAGTGGATCAAGAATGTAAATGCAACACAGATCATCGATTTGCACATTGATCAGCTGGTATGCCAGTAATGAAGGCACCACGACACCTACCCCCCTCGTCGCATACGTACAAGAGCCAAGCTATGCAATATATTCACTCATCCGCAGTGAAAATAAAAGCTCTCTTTAAAATAAAAACTCCTAACAAGGTGACAGGAGCCTCTCTCTCTCTCTCTCCCCCGCGTTGATCGCCACAAGACGGCGTTCCGAACGCGAGGGTGAAAGTCCTGCCGCCACGTAACCGCATGCCCCCCCCCCTTCGCTTTCGCTTGTGGATGCGATGGCTATCGCGTGGAAGAAGCGGTTCACTATCACTGCCTGACAGCATGAATGGCGCATACAGGACTAAGGGACAGCCTTGCGTGCAAACTACACACCCTCTCCCCCCCTTCTCTCTCCCTCTCTCTCTCTGCTTAATCCCCACAACACTGTCCTGAAGATGCCTATCTCTCAGCACATGCACGGTTTTGTAGTCAATAGCAGTATAACGCGTAATATATATACACACACACATAAACACGCCGGGTCGGGTAAACTGCATAAACAGTGTGGAAGAGTTGTTGGCAAAGTGTGGCTCTTCCACTTGTGAATTTCGGTATTCAGTTGGTCGCATTAAATTGAGGATAATTTGTCACGCTTACATGTTATGTTTATTGAACGTTCTTTTTTTAATTTTGGAGTAGCAGTTTCCTGTTAATGATTATGGCATAGCGCAAAACATCCCAGAGAACAAACAAAAAACATAAGTGAATCCTCGAGTTATCTAAATACATAATAACGATGGTCTTTTGTATGGGTGACCAGTGTCTGAATTTGCAAGGGAGATATTGTATCGCGGTGGGCAAGCGTTCACCTGCTTCTAAATAAAGGAAATTGAAAAAAAAAACATGCCTTATCACATTGCAGATTACTCTCCTGTTAATGTTGTCAGTGAGCTTAAGAATGGGGGGGGTGGGTAGCGGTGGCATGGGCTATATGAGGTTTGGGTTACACATTGTTGAAGGATACTGGGTTGGAGTCATGTTTAATACGTGTGTTTTGCGAAGGCTTGAGTTTCACTTAATGGTCTCACAACATAAAGTGCACGTCTCACGTACTGTACAATGGAGGTAGCTTTCAAAAAGCGTATTTTTTTTTATAACGCATAATATGCTGCACATTCAAAAATATATATGACAATCAACATTTTGCTAGCGTTCAAAGGTGTACCCTACAAACAACTCTCCCCACATATATGACATATCAGCACACAAGCATCATGAAGTAAGTTAATGGTACCGAATTCAGCCTGCATTACATTCATAACGTAACTGTTAACGTTTTAGTTTACTTTTTTTTTTAAAGCCACACAGATTTTGCGATTGCCAATGTCTTGATGTATAGCATAAAACTGTCCCAGTGCATCATTTGTCAACGCAGCACCAGGAGGAAACAAAATAGTCAGTATACTCCAGACACATCAGTATCATGAACCATGGGTCAATCCACTGCTAGATGAACGCGTCACCATGCTACGTCGGTCACTGGGGTTTTGACCGAACTTTCCTTTTAATTAGTGCGTAGTCAAAAATTAAAAAAAAAATCTGCTGTTAAGTTTTCTAATCCAACCCACTGCTGTATGCTCCTACATGTGGACATTTGAAATCTATATTCAAGAACGGCCAACCACATTATATTAAAAACGACTGTAATCATTGTTCACTTCACACCTGCCACGTTGTGGCTGCATAAAGTATTAAAAAACAACAACTGACCAATGATGTAACAGTGAAAATATTAACGATTTGATTTCCAATGCATGTACCTGTTGTAATTGCATGGCTGTCTAAACGAGGTATGCAATGAGTGTGAATTGATTTGCATTTAGTACGCTTCGCTGTGATTCCTAAATAGCAATTGTTTTTTTTTGTTGTGCTAATATAGCCGTCGACTAATTTAAACGTGAGAATAATGCCCTTTATTTAAGGAAGGCCTTAGCCGACTCTTAACGTTTGATTTGCAGGAGGATCCCACACGGGAGTACCCGGAGATAACCCAAGCGAAGATGTGCATACTTACAATCATCTCCGCACAGATAGACTGAACAATCACACCGCTCTACCGCCACCTCGTGGCCTAAGTGAAATTAATAACACAACCACCCGCCAACTTACCAAACAAAAGCCCAAAACACCCCCCCCCCCCCCCCGTCCGTTAAAGCGCTGTCGTGAAACAAAAACACACAACCAAAAAAAAATGCCTCCCATCGTTATTCATATTTAATGCACGTCATTAACATCGCTTCGTACTACGTTACAGAGGATCAGAGAGAGAGAGGTAAATCAATGGGTATAAGGGACCGTCCCGTTGCGCCTGTAATGAATGCGAGAACATCGCGCTAAGAAAGTCTTCGGGTGCCACGTGAAGTCCGTGTCTCTACGATAACACCTAGGGGTTGTCGTCGTCGTCACCACTTCCATAAGCGCCCAGCAACGATATCAATGAGTAATCTGTAACACGTAGGCATCAGTCCTGGGAGTCTCAAAGAACCCCCCCCGGTTATCAGGAGGTATCCTACAATTTGGTAATGTTCGCGCAATTCCTCGATGGGCACACACGTAGTTTAACCGGCGCGTGTGGTTGTCACCAACGTTTCGCTGCGGGGTAGCGATTTGACCTCTTCCGTGACAGAACAGAGTTTATTTATGTTTTAATCTCCCAGCTGAGCGTGGAACGTCAAACCCGCAGACATCAGCCGCGTTAGCACAACCGCGACAACCCCACGCAGCCGACACACAACGAAACAAGTACGACGTGACTTTGTGGGGGAAGGAAGGAGGGTGGGCATGCAAACCCGAGGGTACACAAACACTCGGTTGAACAAAAAAATATATACATTAGCAAAACCACGCTTTGTGCGACCGTAAACTTGCATTAACAATAGAAGGCAATGTTAACGACGAGATGATGTCGCATTGGGGGGGGGGGGGGGCACATCGATATAGTTTGTGGCGGACAAAGCGCACAGACAGACACAGACACACAAAGATAAAGATCCCCCGTGTAGCCTTAACAGACTGTAGGGGCAAGTGCTGTTAGCGAGCACCTATGAAGGCCGGAACGGTACACGAGGGGGTGGGTGGCCAGCACCACGCCCGACCGCCTTTGTCTCCCTAGTGACGATGTTTACACACCGCACCAGGTACTCATTTGAGGCTGAGTCGACCTAGGGGAGGCCCGGGACCGGTTCAGATAATCGTCACTGGTGTTGGCCGTGAGCGAGAATCGAACCCGGGTCGCCAGGTTCATAGCGCAGTGCGCTAACCGCTACACTATCGCTCCCCACAACACACACACACATAGACAGACACACACAGACAGACACACACACAGACAGACACGTGCGTGTGCATCCTACGTTACTGCAGGTGAAACAGCGTGCTGCCGGGACCCGGTAACACCGCCAGCGAGCGAGCGAGTGCTCAGCTGACGATGTCGCCAGCGCTTTAGTTTACTCGCAAGCCGCCTCATTCTTACTTCTCCGTCAAACAACCGCGCACGTTAACGGGCAGGCGAAGCACAAAGCAACAATCACTGCCTGCACGTACACACACAACATACACACACACAACATACACACACACAACATACACACACACACGTTCGTACACGTGTGTGGTGGTGTGTGGTGTGAGCGCTGCGAGATTGTCAACCGAGGGATGAGCCAAGGATGCCGAAGGAGTTTTGCGTGCGCAGCCACAGACACGACGACACCCCCCCACGTGCAGCCTGTGACAGACTGTAGGGACAAGTGCTGTTAGCGAGCACCTACAGACACACAACAAAGACAAAGATCCCCACGTGTAGCCTGTGACAGACTGTAGGGGGCAAGTGCTGTTAGCGAGCACCTATGAAGGCCGGCACGGCACACGAGCGGGTGGGAAGTGGGCAACACCGCGCCCGGCCGCCTTTGTCTCCCCAGTGGAGATGCATTTGTTTCTATTACTATTTACACGTTTACGCACCGTACTCATTCGAGGCCGAGTCGACCTAGGCGTGGAGGCGCGGGACCTCAGAACCGGTTTCGTACAATCGCCACTGGCTAGGGGAGTCGAACTCGACGCGCACGCTTTAACATACAAGCACGGGACACAGCAAGCGCTCGATCGTCAACCAACATCATCACGAACCACCATCATCATCATCACGAACCATCATCATCATCACCTTGCCGCTGGTGTAGTAGGGGAAGGAGGCGCAGCGAGACGGGTCGAGGCTCGAGTTGGGCTCTGCGGGAAAGCATTTCCCGGCCGCCGGGGAATAGAATCTCAGGTCCATCGTGGCCACGGTCTTGTGGGGTTGTCTCTCGGCTCGTGTGTCCCCCGGTGATTGCGATGATGGTCGTTGTCTCTGTTGGCTGCTGCTGCTGTTGTTGTTGTTGGTTGGTTTGTTCCCGTTGCTAATAATGAGTTGTTCGTTTTACGAACGCGTGCGCTGTACCGACACAATAATAACTACGGTAACTACGCGTGCGCGGTTTACTATTACAGCTAATTACTAAATGCTATGAGTTAATGATCCGGTGGCTGCTCCTGGGTTTATCTCCTGGGTTTATCTCCTGGTTTTACTCTTTCCCTCCCTTCCCCCCCCCAAAAGACCCCGTCTGAGACTGCCGACAAACGCCGCTTTCACAGCGGTTCAACTGAACGCGCAAACCAGCGAAACGGCGGCTGTCCAAGAAGCCTCCTGCGACATTAGTCCGGGTCGCTTGTTCTTCCTCCTCCTCCTCCTTTTCACTTTTAGCGATTTACAAAGTAGACAGCGGAAACCGGCGGTGGCAGCCGCATCATCATCAGCAGCGGATGATGATGATGCTGATGATGATGATGACTCGGAGGAGGCAGGCGACGGGGATTGCGAGTCTTTCGTGAACCAACTTTGCCAAGTTGTTTACAAGCTCCGCGATTCGCGTGGTTTAAAAAAAACACCACCACCACTCGACTGACACGCGCAAAAGTTAATTGCGTTAAAAAGTCCGACCGAGGGCGAGTTTGATTGTTTCCTCCACTCCGCGAGCCCCCCGTTAACTTCTCGCGGGACGTCAATTCCCAGTTCACCGTCGCTGTTGCGACAGCAGCAGCAGCAGCGGTAGCTTCAAGCAGCAAAGCAAAAAAAATGATTCGACCCAAGTTGCGATTATTACAGCATTCTTAATCTGTTCGCCTCTCGCTGCCGCCGCCGCCGCTGGCTGCTACTCTCTTCGTCTCCGTGTTGCGAGTGTCTCTCCACCCCCCCCCCGAGCCACGTCTCGCACCACCACCACCACCCCCCCCCAACACACCAACCTACTACCCCCCCAACACACCAACCTACCACCACCCCCGCCTGTCTCACTCACGCGACAAGACGCCCCCCACCACCCCCCCCCCTCTGATTGTCTTCCGAATCCAATGGCGCACAGCGAGAATATTTAGCGCGTGGACTGCCCCCTTTTCTAGTGATGATGATGTATCCCGGCACGGGACGCGCCGCACGAGGTGACACAACAAAGAGAGAACGGCCCAGGGGCCAAGCGACTCCTGCGGCACGGACGATGCCGCGCTTGCTTGCCCCGTGGATGAGCAGCAGCAGCAGCAACAATAATAATAACCACAGTCGCTTTTTGGAGCGGCACACCGCTGCCTCGCTACTCGTGCTGCTCCTGCTGCGTGGGGACTCCTCAATAGTCACAGGTTCCCACCACCACCGCCACCACCAAAAAAAAAAATAAGAAATTGAGTAAATAATTGTTCTAGATGCTCGCTAAAGAGGCCCAAAACCCTCTTGCCTCTCCCCCCACCACCCACGCAAAAAAAATATATATATTTATTTACGCGATAGAGTTAACTGCCTTTTAAACACGAACTGTAATATTAGAACGTCAATTTTGCTGGTGCCCCCTCCCCACCACCAGCCACCTTTATATTATATTTATTTTATTTATTATTTAAACAAACTGCTTACAGCAATCACAGCTGCCCGTCAAAGCCACTATCAATCTCGCCGGGGGAGTAACATGCGGACGTTGGTCACGGCAAAGTGAGCGCTAATGCTCGGTACGGTCAAGCGCCCCACTGCTTAGGTGTTGGAAGCCCCGTGGTCGCCTGCGCAGCCCCAGATCTTACCCCCCCCCCACCCCCCAGGGGGAGGGATGGCTGGGCTATGATGGGATGGGGTGGGGTTGGGTCTGTGAGTAATGCAATGGGAGGGGAGGGTTCGTGGTGGGCGGGGGGGGGGTATGATGGTGTAGTGGGTTGGGTTGGGATGGGTGGGGTGGATGGGGGTTGCGCTGGGTGTGTGCAGCGCGAACACACATAAGCTGCCCTGCCCACTTGTTATACGGGAGCGCGTAGCCACCTCCTCCCCCCCCCCCCTCTTTGGTGTGCCTCACCCATCCACCAACCCACCCCACTCCTCTCTCTTCCTGCTCGTTCCCTCCCCACCCACCCAGCACCCCCCCCCCTTCTCTCTCTCTCTTCCAGTCGTGAGCACGAGAGATGAGCTGAGACCAGGCCCACTGCTCCATCTATGGGTATGATGTAATGTAATTGTGTATCCAATCCGACGGCGCGCTGCGCGACTTGCGTGGGCAGTGGAGGAGGGAGGCGGCATTCATTCATTATTTACGTATTTGATTTTCTTTGCTCGCAACGGGGTAAGAAGAGAGTGAGATGGAGAGATGGAGGGAGGGAGGCATGCAGCCAGCTCTAGCAATTGTGTCGGTGAAAGAGTGCCATAGGTGTCCAACTGGAGTACTACACGCAGAGTATAATTAAGCCGCACGGTCGCGTGATCACATCTCTTAATCAGTGTTATCTGTAACCATGCATATCAATAATGCAAATTACCGACACGTAGCAAACAGAGAAATAACCACTGAATGTTTTAATTGCATGCCTTTTCACGCTTTGCTTTGGCATATACATTAACATACAATAACATACATTAACATAAGCGTGCGGTTATGCAGTGGCCAGTGCTTTAGTTTTCAGGGCTGTGTAATTCATTCTTCTGAGATGTGTACGTGTTTATATACAACGTGTGGATACATATATATGCAATGTGCTCATAACAGATGATTAAAAAAACATTCCCACGCCACGGTAAATTTAAAAGTCAAGTCAAAGTGTCGTCCTTGCCAGTGGTAAAACAAACAAAAAAATCCACATTCATATGACGGGACTCGTCTATCCATAGTGTCATCACCAAAAGTAAAAAAATGTAACGGTGCAACCCTGCAATAGCTTACTCATACCACTGCTGGCAGAAGGGCCTTCACTAGAGACAAGGTCTCTATTGACTCTCGTGCCTGCTGTGAAGGGCAATTGCCAAAAACGCCACCGATTATAGTTTTATTTCTTTCTTTTTAAAATGCAATGCTATGGAGGAATGTGCTGAGGTTATTTTGCTATTCGTGCAAATGCAGTATCGCCAAGTAATTTCTTCTATTTGAGCGAGCATTTCAGAGCCCCTCTGAAGGGTACTTTTGGCTACTCTTCCACGTTGGCCAGCTATCTCGGAAGACGTGGGATTACCCACATTTTACCCCGCCGCACCCAACCTGGTGATGGCCTGTGGTTTGCCCATTGTGCCACTGAGTAGACAGGCGGTTGGATATAATAAACTCGCACATTGCTTCACGTGCTGCACAAGGAGATCGCATTGAACCGGCGACCTCTGAATTGCAAGTTCCAGTGTGCTCACCATTCAACCACGACAGCTTCTCACACCACCTAAAACATGGGGTGCCAAACCTGTCTAAGACCTAGAGCCAAAAGTACCCATGAGTTTTGCAAAGAGCCAAGTGTATGTATATAAGAGGGTATATCCATAATAGAGTTTTTTTTGTGGTTGGATCGCGTAAATGTATAAAAGTGTTGTTAAAACCCGCCACCACCCAACACAGCCAACTCGTAAGGGTTGTCACGTAAACAGAACATGCCAATTCGTCACTAGCACAGCACACGGAAGGTGTGTACAGGATTAACTGCACGTGTGGTAAATGTTATGTTGGGCAAACAGGACGAATGATCAGCACGAGAATAAAAGAACATGAAAGAAATATTACATTATCCCAAATATAACTGTCAGCAGTAGCAAAATACGCGTGCCAACAAGGACACTCAATTGATTTTGATAATGTTGAAGTGCTGTGCCAAACTAGCTACTACTGGCCAAAACTAATTAGAGAATTTATCGAAATTGAAAGAAATAAAAATAACTTTAACCGTTCAGATAGCTACAGGCATAGTGCTGCTTGGAAGCGAATCATCAAATTGTACATTATTTAAATTCATGCCTATAAAGGGGAGCATACTTCAATAGGAATTACCGTTGGCACGGCTATTTTAATACACACAACAGACAGGAAGGACAAGTCAAAAGGCTCGCAAAATGCACGTGCATAATGTACGTTGCCTCAGTAATCTCCCCCCCCCCCCCCCCCCCCACATTGTGTAAGAGAACAGAAGGGTGGTCAACACATCTACGCCTCTATATAAGGAACAAAACAGGTAGACTTCTCCATAAATCTGGCTGTCGCCTGATGAAGCTAGTTGTAATTACTGGCGAAACGTCGTACTCGGATTGTAAATGTTGTGGCTTGGCTCTCCAACACACCGGTGTGCTGTACTAGTGACGAATTGGCCACGTTCTGTTTACGTGACAACCCTTACTAGTTGGCTGTGTCGGGTGGTGGCGGGTTTTAACGACACATTTACACAATCTAACCCAAAACACCTCTCTTATGAATGATATTGGTTGCGAAAGCCTACATGTTAAAGAGTGTATATATTTGCAGTTTTCGGCACAGCACGGGAGACATTCATTATTCTTTGCCGCTGTGATAGTGTGTTCTACGTTATGCCCCTTCGATAGACCCGCATGTGGTGGATTATAGAGCCGCATGTGGCTCGGGAGACGCCGGTTGGCCACCGCTGACTTCTAAAGTATCGTTCCTTTTGAACCTTCCTCGATCTGAGGGCTGGTGGCGAGATGGATTCTCCAAAACCCACGGGGCTCTGTCTTTGGCTTTTCTTACGGGTTGTCCCATACTGAGCCCTGTCCAAGCAGCAACGACAGTGTCATCAATCCAAACCCTTCTTGTTAGGCCTCGTCCTTCCGTGGGACTGGGCCTTGAGTTAACATCTCCTCCAAGCAGAAGCCGGTTTTGTGCAGGACGTGTCCCAGGAATATCATGTCACGTTTACTATTGTACACACAGGGCTATAACGCTTGGTAGTATACCACTTTATACAGAGTATAATAATCGTGTACAATATATTTTAGGCTATTTTGTCAATTCACGGTTGGATGAAGAACTTCATTTCATCGTGTCGATCGTAGGGGTCGTTTCATCGTACTTCACCGGGCTGGTCGGGCAGGTTGATGAAGAGGTGGAATCCAGGACAAATTCAGATTCACTTGCCACAGATGTTACCCATGGCTAAGAATAAAACCGACGTTGCCAGGTTCAGACCACAATGCTCTAACCACTGTGCCACCACTCCACCCTCAAAACATATAAATGTACACAGTTTGACATTATTTTGACATTTACAATGTTAATATTCTAAGTAAATGGCATTAAATAGTTATTTTTAGACAATAGGAGCAGTAAAGGTGAGGGAGCTAAAATAGGTAGCCACAACACAGCATTTGTATTCAATATAATATATACTGTGCACCGATTATGTACACAAAACAGAGACACTTATATTTTAAAACCACACGATTAAAAGGTCACCTCGTGCAGTCCAGTATACAAATGTTAAATGCATATCTGTACATTTTAGGTATTTGGCTTACTCATTAACTCCTTTATTCAAACCATCAAGTTTCTTAAATCCCCCCATCCCACCTCTGGATACATAACAGTTAAATCTTGACTAAAGTCACGTGGCTTTACCGAAAGACCCAAAGAATATACATAACAGTTCGTCCATCGGCAGGTCACATGTGGCGGAATCAAGTGGGGGATACTCCAACCTCCTCCAAGATATTCGTTGGGTCTTTCGGTAAAGTCACGTACGTACGTGCCTTTACCGAAAGACCCAAAGAGTATGAATTCCTGCAGTCACGAAAGTTTTAAGTCAAGATTTATCCTCCAAAATGTTTAGCCAGCACAAAACCCTCCATGACAAGGGCTCATCGGAGCTCCCTCTAGTGGAGGCACTTCTATACTGTTTTATATTTTCGCAGGTCAGGCCCACTGAGCTATATAGCTCTTTTTCAGAAGCGACCTGGCTATCACAATTAATAGCTCAATGAAG